CCCGGTAGGGTCCGCCCGACCGGACCCGACCCGACTCGTCCGTTAGGGTCCGCCCGCCCGACCCGACCCGACCTGCCCGTTAGGGTCTACCCTATCCAACCCGACCCGCCCGTTAGGGTTCTCGCGAGGTCGTTCGTGTATGCGCCACACTTTAAATGTCCCGCCCGCCCGTCCCGACTTGCCCGCTAGGGTCCGCCCGCCCGACCCGACCCGCCCGTTGGGGCTCACGTGCGCTCGGTCGTGTATGCCCCACACTTTAATGTTCCTGCCGCCTGGCCCGACCCGACCCGCCCGTTAGGGTCCGCCCGCCCGACCCGACCCCGTCCCGTCCCGCTCGTTCGGGTCAGGCTGCTGTTGCACCTCGCTCCTTTCATCCTCGTCCTTTTCCTGTGCCCCCCGGCTTCTCCTCCTCCTGCTGCTCCTCCTCTGCCTTTTTCCTGTCTTCGGATACCGAACGCCAGCGCAGCAAGCCCCGGCGAAGTGAGACTCCTGCGAAGCGAGCCCCGGCGAAGCGAGTCCAGGCGCAGCGAGGCCCCGGTGAAGCGAGCCCCGGCGAAGCGAATCCTGGCGAAGCGAGCCCCGGCGAAGCGAGACTCTTGCGAAGCGAGTCCGTGCCGCACCCTTCCCTCTCAGGAGGGGAAAAAACACACAGACACAATTAATCGTCGATTCCCAGGAAAATATGGGAAACTATGGGAAGTGGGGGAGAAGACAAGAACCCAGAAAATATGAGAAAATATGGGGGATATTTTTATTTTTGTGTATTTATTTGTGTGTCCTGGGGCCCCTTCACCCTCTTCGCCATGAGGGAACGGCGCCCTGAGCGGAGCGGGTCTCCAGAGGCCTTTCGCTTTTTCCTCGCCTTCGAGCGAAGACTCGTGAGGAAGGGCTGGCACTACGAACCTGGTGACGATCGTGATCGCAAGCGATGAGTTTGGATGGAGCGACACTCGCAAATGCAAACGTAATCTGCGAGGGTTTATGGCTTCGGGGACGCGAATCTGCAGTCATTTACGAGGGTATATGGCCTCGGGGACGTAAACATCGCGTAATTTACATGGGGTTATGGCTTCGGAGACGCGAATATGGGGTAACGTACGAAGATTTATGGCCTCGGGGACGCGAACATAGCGTAATTTATTCTGGCCTCGGGGATGCAAATATCAAGTATTTTTTACGTGTCCCACGCCCCGCCAAGAACTGAGACCACGCGATCTGGGCGTGGTAAAAAAGGCTGGTTTGGGGCTCCCCCCCCTCGCGCGTTCAGCAACAATTTACAGCATTGGATACTTAAAACTGGAACTGGTGCAGGGAGCATGAAAGCCTTATCTTCGCAGCCTGATGGCCCCGTGAGGGAGCTCGCGGATTTACGTCCGCTCATCGAGGCCTAACCCCGCCTCCCTCGTGAGCCCCAGGCGCCGACCACCGCGCGGCGTGTCAACTTCTTGTACAAGGCCGCCGCGGCTCCCCGATTGCTCGTGCGGCAGGAGGAGGGCGATGTTTGGAGGAGGGGGCGGGAGGAGAGGGGGGGGAGGCCGACGGCGAGGGAGGGAGGGAGGGAGGGTGGGGGAGGGAGGCAGGAAGAGGAGGAGGAGAAGGAGGAGGAGGAGGAGGAGGAGAAAGGAGGAGGAGGTGGAGGTGGAGGTGGAGGAGGAGGAGGACGAATAATAATACTAACCACAATACTACGTAGTATTAGTAATACCAATAATACACATACTAGTTTTAGTAGTACTAATACAATGAAATTTCAGAATATTAGTAATATTTCTAAAATGAAGAAGGATTCACACACCACTAGTACTAGTACTTGCAATACGGAATAACAATAATCATAGTAATAATAATGCGGCTAAGAAATTTCGTAATATTGATACGACGAATAAGATTAACAATGCTACTGATAATAATAATCCTGCTAATAATAATAATAAGAGTATTGGGAATCACAACTAGTAAGTATAGTAATACTAAGACGAATAATAATGACATAGAAGAAGGAGGACAGGGAGGAGGAGGAAACATAGGACGAGGACGGAAGAGGAGCAGGAATAGGAGTTGCTTGGCTCGGCTCTCTGAGCCCCCAGGGGGAGGCAGAAGGGCGGGGGCAGGAAGAGAAGGAACGGAAATGCTGAGGAAGGGGAGGAGTGGAAGGATGAGGAGAGATGAGAGGGAGGTGAAGGAGCAGGAGAACCGAAAAGGGAAGAGGCAAGGGGTGTGGAAGAAGGAGCAGTGGGGAATCTTCCATAAGTCTTTGAGTTTCTGGAGGCCTCCAGGGCCCTCCTCTCGCTGCCCCGGCACCTCCGCCGCTGCCGCCTCCTCCTCTCCGTCCTCCTCCCCCTCCTCCTAGTCCTCCTCCTCCTCCTCCTCCTCCCTCTCCTTCTCCTCCCCCTCCTTCTCCAGGCGAGTGGCCCAGACGAGTGGCATCCAGGTGGACACGAGTCTGGCATCGTGCCTCGATCTCTGGTGGCCCCGGTGGCAAGGATCGCTACGCCCCTTGCTGCTGCTGCTCCTCCTCCCTGCCTCGCGCTGCCCTCTCCCCCCCGAGGATAGAAACCATCAGGGCAAGTCCGCCAGGACGCAGACCATCGAAGTGGTGGACACGGAGGGCAATCCGATTGGTGAGGAGCCAAGCCTGGGAGGAGGCGGCGTATCCTCCACCTCCTCCTCCTCCTCCTCCTCCTTATCCTCCCCCTCCTCCCTCTTCCTCCTCCTCCTCCCCACTCCCTCCTCCTCCTCCTCTTCCTCCTCCTCCTCCTCCTCCTCCTCCCTTCAGAGAGACCAAGCCTGCGAGAATCAGTCCAGGGGCAAGCGTCGCCTGGAAGAAAGGAGGAGGAGGAGGAGGAGGATGAGGAGGAGGAGGGGGGGCAAGAGAGAGGAGGAGGAGAGGAGAGGAGGAGGAGGAGGAGGAGGAGGAGGAGGAGGAGCAGGAGGAGGAGGAGGAGGAGGAGGAGGAGGAGGAGGAGGAGGAGGAGGAGGGAGGTGAGGAGGTGGAGGAGGAGGAGGAGGAGGAGGAGGTCCAGAGTAGAACCAATATTCACCGACGATGCTGCAATGCACCCTGCCGTCCCAAGTCCCCTTCCGTTAGTTCCCGCAAACTCTCTTGCACTGCGCGATGCGTCCCCTGTGAAAGACCCATGGGTCCCCAGTTCAGGCCGGAGCTCCGTCTTGAAACAAATTGCCCTCCATGCTTCGAGCTATACATATTTACATATATACACACATATTCATACATTTACATATATTAATACATGTATAGATATGTATACACATATATGTATATTGATGGAATGCGACAGGGTGAAGTCATAACGTTCAAGGAAGTGCCCAGGGACGGCCCTGTTTGACAAGGAACTGCCCTCCATCGGTGCACCTGTGTCACAAGTGTAGACTTCTGGCCATAACATCAAGCGGACTCCCAAGCGAGAACCTTGTTTTGATAACGAACTGCCCCCCTCCAGCCGTGCAACTGTTGCACGGCCTGCGGGCTTGTAGTCCTTTCGTTTGTAGAAGGCTCCGGCGAGCACACCTTGTTTGGAAATTGCCAACCGTCTAGCCGTTTCATCTTTTCAGGGCCGGCGTGCTCGGGGCTCAGACGACAGGCCCACTTCGGAAACGCTGAGAAGAAAGGCCGCCCCGGCGGGCCCGCGGTGGAGTGGGCCAGAGGAACCGCTCCGCACCGCCGGCGCGTCGGCGCTGCGGCGGGGGCCTTGGGCCCGAGCTTCTCCGTGCTGGCGCGTCGTTAATGTGTCGCCGACGCATCGCCGATGCAGCGGCGTAGCGGTGCCCCTCCCGGTCAATCAGACAGGAGCCGTGCGTAGACGGCAGATCGGTTGCGGATCACATGCGCGAGTGTATGCACAGCGGCATTCCAGCGCCAGGCGAGATTGCGTAGAAGTCTGCCCACTCATGCCTGATCCCACACTGGTGGACGACCCGGGAGAGAGCAGCAAGGGCCCCAGCGATCCTCCCCGATCCTCCTCGATATTCCTCCTCGCTCCTCCTAGATCCTCTTCTTCCCCCTCTTCCTCCTTCATTTTCCTAGGTCCTCCTCGATCCTCCTCCTCGATCCTCCTGCTAGATCCTCCTGCTAGATCCTCCTCCTTCTCCTCCACCTTCCTTTTCCCAGATCCGATCGAAGCGCGCACGGCGCTGCTGGACGGCGCCTTGGCAGCTCGCCGATGGGCCGCCCGGTCGCGGGGGGGCGCTCGCCGCCCCAGGCGCCGTGGGCCCTTTTCGCCGCCCGCTGGCCGACCGCTCGCCGAGGCGTCGCCGATGCGACCAAGCGACTCGTGATATCGGAGGAGGAAAAGGTACCCATACCTCTGCCCTCCCCTCGTTTTCCCTTTTTTGGCCTCCTGGGCCTCCGTCGTCGTCACTTGGATTCGCCTCGAAATCCTGGTCAGAACGCACCCCAGGAGAGGTCCAGGGAGTAGCGGTACTTGTTTGTCTCCCCATGATATCCGTTGCTGTGCGCAGGTCCTGCTGTCACGATGTCTTGAGCAGCTTGCCTTGTGCCTGAGCTGTGTGCGCGACTTCGCTTGCCCTGCGCGAGCAGAAAAAAAGCAGACAGGCGAAAGAGATTGCAGTCGCATGTCGAAGTCCGATCTGTGTGCGTATGTGTGTGTGTGTGTGTGTGGGTTGCAGCGCCCCGCTGGGAAGTGGAGGATCAAAAGATCTTCCACGTCCGTCGTGATCGTCGTCGTCGCGTTGGAGGCGGCTTCGACGGCGGCCGACGGCCTCGCGGGCCGGTGGCTGCGGCGTGGCGGCCCAGCCGCCCGGCCTCAACCAGCGACCCAAACGAGAATCACACAGTTTTTACATTCCTCACCGCCCGACTGTTTTCCTGTTTTTTCCTGGTCCGCAGTATTGTGGTCCCACTTGGGCGGCCTGCAGAGAAGGGGGGTCGGGCAGGCCGCCCAACAACGCCCCGGGGCGCTCTCGGAGCGTCTTTGTGCGCTGTGGGGCCGCCGCGCGCGGCGCCCGAGAGCCCGCTGGCTCACAGAGATTTCTGACGCACCTTGATCAGGTTTTCGTCTCCGTTGAACGGGTGTTCGGTCGTGGGCCCCGGGTGGAAGGCAACCGCGTAGCCTTCGCGCCGAAGACCGCCCGAGACAGGTGAAGATCGCCAGAGGGCGCCGACGACCACCCGAGACCGCCGAAGGCAGAAAACCGCCGTCGCCCGCCGACGACCGCCCCTTGCCGACGGGTAGCGAAAGGTGGTCGAACGCGCAGTCTTTGCCCGGGCTTCGTCTTTCGGGAGGTAGGATGACGCCCCCGTGTTGGCGGCGCCCGCAAGGGGGCGGGGTGACGCGAGAAGGGGGTCGGCTCCCGAGGAGGCGAACGGGGCCTCTTGGAAGGCAGGAGCCTTCTCATAAGGCCTTTCTGGAAGGCCCTCTGAAGAAGGCCCCAGAGGCTTCCGAGAAGGCTTCTCGGAAGCCCGGCGGGTTCCTCCGAAGCCCCCCCCCCCGCCTTCCCAGGAGCCCCGCCTCGTTCTCAGAGGGCCGCCCCTCTCTCGCGCCAGCCACCCGTGTCGTCTCCCGCGGGGCCAGCCAGCTCCTGCACTCCGGCTGCTCTGCACGCGACCATGCACATCGGCGGCGAGCGAGGGGCGGACTGAGACGGAGAAGGCCTTCTCAGAAGGCGGCAGGGCCTCTCAGAAGCCATCGCGCCTTCCGGAAGGTTTTCTACGTCTTCGGGGAAGGCTTCAAAAGCTTCTCAGAAGGCCAGGGGACTTTCGAGCCTTCTGAGAAGGCCTTCACCTTCTCACTTCCCCCCTCGCTCGTCGCCGAGCATATGTACACAGTGCTCCCGCAACGGCCAGCATACCATGGTGTAGAAAACAACTCGTGCTACCCCCCTGTCGGGTGTTGCTGGAGGTGCCCCTGGCCCAAGGTGCCCCCAGGATTTCCAAGGAGGCCCCGACGGCCTCCAGAGCACCCCTCACGAGGCCCAGAGGGCCCCAGGGTTTCCAATATGGAGTGAGAAGCTGGGGGCACCTTGGGCCAGGGGCACCTTACGCAACATCCGACCCCGTGGGCGCTGCCAACCCTGGAGCGGTGCCGAGCCGAGGAGAAGCTGAAGTTCTATACCTTCAGCAAGCAGACGGCGAACTACGTCGTCCACCAAGCGTACAAAGTGTGGCGAGCCCCCCCGCGCGCCCCCGATCGAGCCGAGACCTCCTGGTCGCGCTGCCCCCCCGTCGGGCCCCGGGCCTCTGCCGAGACCTCGCGCGAGGAGGAGGAGGTGGAGGAGGAGGCGGAGGAGGAGGAGGAGAGGAGGAGGAGGAGGAGGAGGAGGAGGAGGAGGAGGAGGAATGTCGGCTCAGCGTGAGAGTGACCTTTCGCCGTAGTGCCCGTTGGTGCAGGTTCGCGGGGGTCTTCCTGGCAGTGGCCTGCGCGCTTGGATCTGGCAGCCCCCCTGCCCCTTACAACCGTCCACCAACGGCCACTCTTGCCTAGTTTCACTCTTGACGTTTGGCGAGGAGGAGGAGGAGTAGGAGGAGGAGGAGGAGGAGGAGGAAGAGGAGGAGGAGGAGGAGGAGGAGGAGGGAGGTCCAGGAGGAGGGAGGAGGGAGGAGGGGTGACCTAAGAGACCAGAGGCATGGGCGACCATGCAGAGCGCCTCGGAGTTGCTGCATCGCACGACGCGGGGCCATCAGGAGGCGGCTCCAATGGATCAAGGGGGCGTGGATTAGCGATGGGTCCCGTTTCCATGGGAAATCGCGTATTTCCGCCGCCGAACGAGGCGGCACGGGCCGCATTTTGGGGAGGGCACCTCCCCCGATCCATGGATTTGGCAATCGCGCGCCAAATCCATGGATCGCTAATCCATGTTTGCGCGCCCCTGATTTTTAGGACTCCCACTTAGATTTTCAGTAATTTAAGGTTTTTCGGCATCCTTCGACGATTTTTCGCTGCAGCGAAGGAGGGGGAGGAGGAGGAGGGAGGATGACGACAAGGGCCTGGGGAGGGTTGATGAAGCCCAGCGGGGTTTCAGGGAGCTCATGGGGATCTTTTCCTGTCCCGTCCTTTCTCATCCTTTCTCCTCCTTGCTCCTCCTTGCTCCTCCTCCTCCTCCTTCTCCTCCTTTTCCTTCTCCGCTTCTGCAAGGGCTCCCCCGCACGCCCCCGGGGCGAGTTTTGGCCAGACCTTCATCGGGCAATCCAGCCGCCAGTGACGGGTAGCTTCCGGAAGGCCCCGCAGAGGGCTCATAATGTCTAGAACGCCTTGATCCTCGAACCTTGATCCTCTTCCTCCTCGATCGTCCAAGTTCAGTCCTGGATCCTCGAGCCTAGATGTTTGTTTGTGTGTGTGTGTGTTTATGTGTGCGCGCACTCTACTGGCTAATTCGCACCAGGCTGCTGCCCGCGCTTCAACTCCTGGCGTCGAGCTACGCTCCGCGGGATGCTTGGCCGCTGCACTTTGGCTTTGCAGTGCCTCATCTTTTCATCACCACCACCATTTTGCACCGCCGTGGCTGGATTCTTTCATCACGGCGCGTTCGACTAAGTTCGTTCGCAATTGGCACCTCCATCTGCCGACCGCGCCTGAAGTTTCTCTGCGCCGCCGACTTAAGACATGTGTGCGTGTGCGTGTGCGTGTGCGTGTGCGTGTGCGTGTGCGTGTGCGTGTGCGCGCGCGCGCGCGTGTGTGTGTGTGTGTGTGTGTGTGTGTGTGTGTATGTGTGTGTGTGTGTGTGTGTGTTTGTGTGTGTGTGTGGTGTGTGTGTGTGTGTGCGTTGTGTGTGTGTGTGTGGGTGCGTGCGTGCGTGCGTGCGTGCGTGCGTGCGTGCGTGCGTGCGTGCGTGCGTGCGTGCGTGCGTGCGTGCGTGCGTGTGTGTGTGTGTGTGTGTGTGTGTGTGTGTGTGTGTGTGTGTGTTTGTGTCCCTCTCTGGCTGCTGCGCTGCACGTTTCGCTTGGATTTGCAGTTCCCCCCTCACGCCACTCATCGCTGCGTTGACCGTGTGCGAGTTTTGTACACTGTTTCTTCGACAGTGTTCGATTGCAGTTCGCACTTCCACCTGCTGCTCGCGCCTGAGGATCCTTTGCGCCGCTGAGTTGAATGTCTCTCTCTCTCTCTCTCCCTCTCTCTCCCCCTCTCTCTTTCTCAGGGTATCTCCATCTCCCGCTCTCTTTCTCTCGTCCCTGTCCCGCCCGATCTCCCTCAACCTCTATCCGTGCAGTAACACATCCAAGTGTAGCAGTTCGACCCTGACGATCACGAGTGGGACGAGCACTGCCCCGAGTTTTCGCATTTCGACGTTGAGCAGCACCTCGCTGAGCACCAGGGCGGGCACCAGCGGCGCATCGCTGAGCAGCACGATCGGGCGCACCAGCGCCTCGTCGTGCACCAGCGGGACGGGCAGTGCCGCGAGCACCACGCCGCTGAGCTGTACGACGGGTACTGGCACTTCGACTATGTGCTACACGCCGGGGAGCGCCAGCTCGAGTTCCATGACGCTGACCACCACGACGTGCACCCGCCGCACATCGGTGAGTAGCGCGACTGGGAACAGCAGTTCGACCCTGACGACCATGTGTGGGGCGACTACAGCGTCGAGTTAAGCCCCGAGTCCTACTAGGTCTATGGCCCAATACTCTTTCGATCCGCATTGGCCCACTGGGTGTGGGATGCGTGTGCAGGCCTATTTCCACGAACCGCACTGGCCCACTGGGGGTGTGATACGAACCCCGACCAGCACGTCGCGGATCATCACCTCCATCATGACGTGTAAAGAGCACGTACCGCTTGGATCGACCTTCATCAGGCCCGATTGCCCGCTCGACGTGGGGCGCCGCCCCAGGCGCACGACCAGTCGCGCCTAAATGCTCAAAGTAGCATTCCAGTGCTACCTACATGTCTGAAGCGCTGCGCGAATTGTGTGCAACTTTTCGTAGCTCTCACGCGTAGGGCCGCTGATGGGGGATGTCCCAAGGCGGTGCCAGCCTTTTTTTGGCGCCGAAGCACGCATGCCAAGAGTCAATCCGTATAGTTCATCCGAAGATGAACGACTTTCTAATACTACCCTTACATACTTCCCGTTCGGCCCATCCTTGGCCGCTTTCGCTGGCCGCGCCCTGCCCGCAAAGTGCTGACATGGCCTTCCAAGGCTCCTGCATCCTTAACGAGGGGCCTTATTCTGCGGGCTGACTGTAGTTACTGGGGCGCAGATGGGCCCTTCACAGGCCTGGTCGCCGTTGCCCGCTCTCTTCTCAGTCGTGGTCCAGACGGACCGCGCCAGGTGGAAGGTCATCCCACCGCCCCGGTTCCATATGTGGCGCCTCCTGCAAGGCGAGGAAGGCCTGCCTTGCACGTGCGGCCCTGCGGCCTGGACGATCCTTCGGTCGCATGATTGCTACCGATCTCTCTCTCTCTCTCTCATTTTTCATTTTTTCTGGACCCTTCTGCGTTGGGTTCTCCTTTTGAAGAGAACACTGCGGTCGCACATCTTCTTGCTTCCCGCCCCATCTCCCCTTCTCTCCTGCCTCTCACCTCGCCCCTTCCTGCGTGCTAGCGTGCCTTCTACCTGGCCATCCCTGAGGGGCTGCGATCTGCGAAATTGTTGCCACTTTCGAGGGCTGCTGGGGGTCCAGCGGAGTGGGGCACCACCCGGACTCAGACTAGGCCTCGCCATCCCTGGGGGGCTGCGATCTGCGAAACTGTCGCCACTGTCGAGGGCTGCTGGGGGATTCAGCGGAGTGAGGCACCACCCATCAGACTAGAACTCGCCATCCTTGGGGGGGCTGCGATCTGCGAAGCTGTCACCACTTTCGAGGGCTGCTGGAGGGTTCAGCGGAATGAGGCATCACGCAGGTTCAGATTAGACCTCGCCATCCCTGGGAGGCTGCGATCTGCGAAATTGTCGCCACTTTTGAGGGCTGCTGGGGGTCCAGCGGAGTGAGGCCTCACGCTGACTCAGATTCGACCTCGCCATCCCTGGGAGGCTGCGATCTGCGAAACCGTCACCGCTTTCGAGGGCTGCTGGAGGGTTCAGCGGAATGAGGCACCACCCAGACTATGTTCGACCTCGCCATCCTTGGGGGGCTGCGATCTGCGAAAGTGTCGCCACGTTCCAGAGCTGCTGGGGGGTTCACTGGAGTGAAGCACCACCCAGACTCAGATTCGACCTCGCCATCCTTGGGGGGCTGCGATCTGCGAAGCTGTTGCCAGTGTCGAGGGCTGCTGGGGGATTCAGCGGAGTGAGGCACCACCCATCAGACTAGAACTCGCCATCCTTGGGGGGGCTGCGATCCGCGAAGCTGTCGCCACTTTCGAGGGCTGCTGCAGGGTTCAGCGGAATGAGGCACCACCCAGATTCAGATTAGACCCCGCCATCCCTGAGGGGCTGCGATCTGCGAAGCTGTCGCTTCTTTCGAGGGCTGCTGGGTGTTCAGCAGATTGAGGCATCACCCAGACTCATATTCGACCTCGCCGCCCCCTGGGGGGTTGCGATCTGCGAAGCTGTTGCTAATTTCGAGAGCTGCTGGGGGGTTCACTGGAATGAAGTACCATCCAGACTCAGATTAGACCTCGCCATCCCTGGGGGGCTGCGATCTGCGAAACTGTCGCGACTTTCGATGGCTGCTGGGGGTCCAGCTGGGCTCTGTCGCGGGCCGCCCGCAGACCTGGCGGCGCGCCTTCGAGTGTTTGGGTCCCGCACTGAAAAGTGCAGGAAGGGAGCAGGGAAGCTGGCGGGCGAGCTAGGCTTCGCTCGCTTCTCACACGAACTATACGCAGGTTTATTCATTTTGTCGAGCGCCGCGGCGTCATGGCGCAGGCAGCGCTGCATCTTTAACGTGCTACCGACAAAAGCAGCACTGTTCGGCCTCTCCCTGTTACTTTCGTCGTCGTCCTCTGCCTCCTGCCACCTTCCCTCTGCTTCTGCCGCGCTGACGGTTCGGCCCCCCGCGCGTCCTTCTCCGGCCCTTCGTTCCCGCCCCCATGACCTCCTCAAGCCTGGGCTCTCGCTCCTCGTCCTTCTGCTGTTGTCCTGTGAATCGTGCCGCGTGAGCGCACGCCGTGTAGCTTGTACAACATATAACGGCGCGTGCTTGCACTGTCATTGTCCTGGCAAGTTTGGGCCAGTTCCTCTTGTCACTCGATGCGAATGGGTCGGGTACGTCGCGTTTTGTTTGTTTGTT